ATTACCTAATGAGCAGATCCCTTTCTCTCCCAGAATAACCCGCTCGGCAATCGCGACATGGCACCCATTCGTCATGGAACTTATCCACCAGCAAGGTAGCTTCCAACCCTACCCATCCTACTCGGCCTTCTCGAAGTTCTTGTCAATCTCTCCTTCATTGGTCAAGTCACTGGCACCCGTAAATTTCGATGGACCCCACTACCCGAGTCCTCACATCTCTCATTGTGTCCCTGACCCAATGAGTGAAAAATAAAAGTAGGCATACAACTGCAATCACATACCCTGGACAGAGCTCAAACTTAGCGTCGCATAGACGCGAAGTCCGAACACTACCTAAGGTAGATTGCAGTTTTGTGTCCACTTTTAGCGTTCAGACTTCGCGTCGACGCGCGTCATCGCTAAGTCTGAACGCTGCTTACTGGCGACTAAGCCCAACGTGTATCTCAAAGTGATCCCCCAGAGACATAGCTTTTTGATGTCTTTCATTCTATTTCAGTCTTTCAGAGCCAGTTCTTCCCCATAATTTCAGCTTACCTCCAAAATGGCTAACGCTGATTCTGGTTGATCAACTTTGTTGAACAATGTGGCCGCGGCTACATGGATAGCATCCAGACTGAGGTTGCCACCCTCTTCACCTTTTTGCTATCATTTTCTCTCTGCAACGATAATAATAATTAAGGAAATAAACATGTAAACAATTTTACAAGGAGTGGTGAATTATGAAGGAAAACGTACGCATACGCCACAGCTGTTTTGTAGCAACTAAACGCCTCTTGCAGGTCACCAGACTGGCGCCAATACGCGGCTGCAGCTAAGTGTAGATACGGATGAGCACTGATGTTCTGCAAATTTTAATTTTAGCCTCTTACGAAAACAAAAAAAGCAAGCTGAAAGTCAGAAGTAGAGATAATTGAAGTCTATCTACCGAAATTTGACCGAAATTTCCCCTCACAACAGATTTGGCTCAAATTTTGTACCATTTTCGTGTAAAGTCAATGTTTCTGTGTGTTCAGGAGACCAGGCTACCCTTCGAGACATGTTTTCAGGGAATTTCGTGTGTTGGCGACGGCATCTGTGGCGCGGGCGTCAAGCGACTGCGAGCAAAATGGGTGCAATAGCAGAATTCGGGGTCAAATTACCGTCAGCACCTAATTTTATCCAAATCTATTTCCAATTTCGAAAAGTGAGTTAGTAAATAGTTTAGGTTTTGCCCATCGTCCCGCTTAAAAAACATATTGTGCTGACGAGTGCGATATTCCGCCCAGGTCAACAGCTGTGTCAAGAATCCGAAGCTACTTAGAAAGAAGTCTGCCCATGACGAACTTCGAAGTAAAGGATCAAGCGCCACAATTGAAAAATTGGGACACCAAAAAGGTACAGCGCGCAAACCCGTCTACTGTCCTAAACAAGGCACGGTGGGAGCCGTATAATCATTAACCGCTCCGCTAAACCGCATGCGTCCAATCACCAGAGTCGACTTATTTGAAGTTATTATAAAATTGCGGCGGCATTTCGACTTGGTGGGGCACCAGAATTGTACCACGCGAAACCTGTACAGAAAAACGTGAAAGTCCTGTGAATTGCTGTAACCAAAGCATCTTACTTTTACCATTTCGTAGCTTCACAGGAGTTCACACGTTCCACCAAAACAAAACCTCTTGATTAACATGAACTCGCGAAATGCCCCTCTCAAAACTGAACAGCGCCAATTTTCCTTTTCCCAGAAGATATTGGATTACTCCGACCTACCTCCATCTGGTGCGACAATAATTTGGCTATGATTGCGCCATATCTCGGTGACGCCGTCGAGACGAGTTTCTTCACATGTGGGAAGTAACTCTTGAGAATTTCTGCATAATCCGAATCGGGGATTCGGGCCTTCAGCTGCTGATCATTCGCCTCCTGCAATACCAAATGTCACGGTTAATCTGATGACAGAACAACATATATGGATGCTAGTGAACTCGTTCATAGGCAACGATCATCACAGAGTTTTAACTCGGGAGATTTTGTTTACAGAAAAAAGCCTGCTCAGGTCACGTTCATACTTCGCGAGTGCATTCGACTGTGCTCCACGGCTAATCATTGGACCACAGCAAATCAACATTATAAGTTCGACGACAGGCGACTGACCGCGTCGTTCGTAGTCGCGCGACTTTGAATCGCTCGAATCGCCAAGTATGAACATGGCCTCCGCTGAGTTTGCCCCAAATGTCTGGTATGTCCCTATGCAGATTAAATGTTCCAGTGAAGCCCACGTTAGAGATGTGGTGCCTCTCAACGGACTAGACGAATTCGAGCCTTTCCCTCCTCACGTACCTTCGGTAGCCCCCTCAGTTGACCTTCTTGATGCCACTGTCGACACCGTGGTAAAAGCTTTTCGTCATCCGGAGCCATGTCGAAATACTCTTTGACGAAAGCTGTATACCTGAAATGAAGGTCCTTTTGAAAGAAATATCGGGAATTAGCTGACTATCTCTTGAATTAATGTTTGCCTCCCTCAGATCTATAAAACCACCAACCTTTCGTAATATTTGTGAAAGTCGGGACATAGCTCAGCAGAGTAGGACGTTTTGAAATTATTTCTGTCCAATTCCACACTGCCGACCAGCTTACAATGCTCACTCTCAGCTTGAAGACGCTTTTCGATGTCCGGATCATCTCGAGCTTCCCGATCGTTTATTGAATTCTGAAGTGAAAAGTATCGAGTTACTACACTTTGTTGTTGACTTCTCAGTCACAACATAGTGAAAAAAAGAGAATGCTAACCTTCCTGCGACAATCTCTAGAACATGTGGTCTACGCCCTTCAAGCCATACCCACCACCCTCGACTATTTTCGCAACTGGACAGCTTGGTCGCGACCAGCATGTATCACCGCTGGTGAACTCCACCTGATGTACAGATGCCTCACTCGAACACAAGGTACAATATTGTTACGTAAGAAATGGCGGTGTCAGAAGACCCTTCTCCCCCAATTTCGTTTTTTGGTACAAACTACCCCCCCTCCTCCCTCCAATGTTTTCCTAACTTCCCGCCACTTTTCCCAATTTTCCCGAAATTTTCTAGCTATCCCCGAAGCAGTTTTTT